CCTCCCCTCCCCCACCCCCTCCCCCAGCTCATACAAAAGAGACCCAGGAGTTTGCTCACTTTGAACCTCAAACAAAAACCTTATGGATGCAATTGGAATGATTTCCAAGGCCCCTGGTAACCAGGCCCCACAAAGGGACAGGCCCCACAGTGGGCCATTATACCCCAGGCCCCCCGAGGTGCAGGGCAGCTGCTGTGACCAGGGAACGGTCTCCAGAGCCAGATTCTGAGACGCTTTTTTTTCAATATTGACTGGGCCAGGAGAGTGACTGGTTCAAGGGATTCCTTCAGCACAAGCAGTTACCAGCGTGGTGACAGGGGACAGAGGCATGTCACTTGTTTGCCTGGGCAACCCAGTCTCAGCAATACTAGGAAATCAAACCAGATTCCCTAGATGTGCCTAAGAATCGCCAAGAACAAATATCCAAAAATTAGATTCTGGCTGGTAGTTGGTGGCCCATGCTCCTAATACTAGCACCTCCGGAGGCTGAGGCAGGAGGATCGCAAGTTGGAGGCCAGCCTCAGCAACTCAGCGAGACCCTGTCTCTAAATAAAATACAAAATAGCTCAGTCCCCAGTCCTTTTTTATATTTTATTGAGAGACAGGGTCTCACTGAGTTGCCTGGGGCCTTGCTATCGTTGAGGCTGGCCTCCAATTTGCGATCCTCCTGCCTCAGCCTCCCGAGCCACTGGGTGTGCACCACTGTTGCTACAGTTACACACATTAACATTGTACATAATATAGTGAAGCTCGCTGTGTTTGCTCATCCCTCATTTTTTTCCTGGCTCATATCCTTAGACACCAGTTCCTCATTACTATAAACAATGACGCAGTGACCATCCTGTGGCCCTGCGTTTTTCTAAGGTAGAAGCCAAGGAGAAGAAATGGCACAAAACTTTTTGTCCCCTTTCTATGAGTTTTATAATTTTTTAAATGTAGAAAAATGGTTTTGAGGTGAGGCAGCTAACTCCTTTCCAATCAAGGTGCCCCTTGAACAAAGTTTTCAAGAATGAATGGGAATGTGCTGACCTGGATACTGTGGCAGAGACTCAATTTTAGTAGCATGATTTGATTTATTTAAATGAAAGAAATAAACCAGTAAGCCCCATTCTCAGCCCTATTATTATTATTATTATTACTATTATTACTATTACTATAATTTATTTTGAGAAAGCATGTTGCTAAATTGTTTAGGGCCTCAAAAATTGTTGAGGCTGGCAGCAACCTTGCAATCCTCCTGCCTCAGCCTCCCAAACCACTGCGCCACCACACCCGACAGGATTTGATATTTAAAAACCACAAAGGCAAGAGTCTGCCCATGTAGTAGACAAGGATAGGGGAGCCTCTTGCTCCAAGGTGGCTGAATAACTGCTCCCAAAACAGATACCAGGTGGACACCATCCTGTCCATTCAGGAATAGAGAGGAGGAGTCACCCAAGAAGTGGGTTTTTCTATCACCTTCCAGAAAAGTGTTCCAAGACATCAAAGAGACTATGAAGCTCATCTCGGGCCAGAATTGAAACTCAGGTCCCCAAGGCCAATTTCCGAGGCAGGTGGAACTGCTTTCTGGGGAGTACAGTCCCCCCCAGCCTCCAAGGCGCATGCGCGCACTCAGCTCTAGGCGATCCCAGGCTTCACGTAGTGGCTTCCCTCCCCCGGGCTGTCCCTCACTTTGTCCCCTCTCCTGCTAAATCCGTTTCCCCTTCTTTTCTAGTTCCCAGATGGGGCTCTCTGCAACTCCACGGCCGAGCGAGAAGCGTCTTTGGAGAGCTGGTGGCTGAACTGTTGGGGCGCACAGTGGAGGGTGGGGACCGAGCCACTCCGACCGCCCCAAAGTGGGATGCAAAGAGCCGACGCTGGAAACGCCCCCGAGGGGCTGAGGACACGGGTGCGCCCGGGTCGCAGGGATCCCTCCAAAGCAACTGAGGTCAACCCAGGGTTTCTGCGCATCTGCCGCTGGACACGGTCCAAGCAGACGGCCATCGCCAAGCTCCTCCTCCTGGAAGTGGCAGGGCGGAGGAACCGGAGCCAGGGAACCGAGGGCCGCCGCGATGGAGCCGGCCGGCCCGAGCGCGGAGGAGGCCGGCGCGGAGGCCGCGGTTGGAGACCCGTATCGGAGGCCGGCGCGGCGCACGCAGTGGCTGCTGAGCGCCCTGGCTCACCACTACGGCCTGGATCGCGGCGTGGAGAACGAGATCGTGGTGCTGGCCACCGGCCTGGACCAGTACCTGCAGGAGGTCTTCCACCACCTGGACTGCCGAGGCGCAGGTCGCCTTCCGCGCTCCGACTTCCGCGCGCTCTGCGCCGTTTTGGGGCTGCGCGCCGAGGGCACCGCCTCCGGGGAGGCCACCGGGGATGCGATCCCTGGAGACTCCGGGGATGGGACCTCCTCCGGGGATGTGGCCGCTGATGGAGACGCGGACGCCCAGGAGGAGGCGCGGCTGGCGCTGCGCGCGGAGCCCCCGGAGCTCACCTTCCGCCAGTTCCACGCGCGCCTCTGCGGCTACTTTGGCACCCGCGCGGGTCCCCGGTTGCCCCGCGGAGCGCTCAGCGAACACATCGAGACGCAGATCCGCCTGCGCCGCCCGCGTCGCCGCCGCCGCCGCCAGCACCCGACCCAGGCGCAGGGTCCCGACCAGGGTGGGCGGGGGGGCCCGGAGGGCGAGCGCG